CACACACACACACACACACACACACACACACCGGCAGGCCTTTCAAAGCACAAAATGCTAGAAGCAGACACGATAAATTACCTGAAAGCCAAATCACACTGCAGATGTTTTTTTCCTGAGTTTAACCTCCTTGGTTAAATACAGTTTATTCACTTATGTCAGGGTGACAGGCAGCATGACGAACATATTCCCACCTTCAGTTCCTAATTGAATTTAGACTTTTAGAACCAGGACTTGTGTTTATCGTAAGTAAGGACAGTATTGTTGTATAAAATAAAACAAAAAGCACCTACACTCACTACATTTGAGGTCAAATCCAAACTTCACAAATGCCAAAATATGAAGACTGAGAAAAGTCAAAATACAATACCAGCATGTCACCAGTTCCTGTACAAACATGATTTGATGTCATCACAACCAAAAGCAATGGACCGAGGACTGCTGAAAGCCGGAGACACTGAGTGATCACGCATTATGAACCGAGCCTGAGGTGTGTTGTTACACCATGGGCTGAGGATTTCTACTCCACTCACAGTAGAAAGACAGGAGGGCAGCTGTGAAGTGTATTAATATTAAGTGTGATCATTTCAAAGTCGACTTGATTTATCCTTCTTTCACATTTTGAATGTTTAAAGTTGAAATTCAAAGCACCCTCATAATTGGTAGCATCAACAGCAAGAACAAGAATAGATCAAAAAGGAACAAATAAATACATTTTCTGAAACTTAAATTAATTCAAGGGCCAGCTGCTTTTTGTTCAGAGTCACAATTCAGTTTCTTTTATCTGTCTGGAATAAACTGGCTGGTGTAAATTCACCCTCACTGTCACTTTGCCAGTGAGAGTGAGTGACAGCGGTTTGTTTCTCAGTATGTCCTCCACATTGATTGGTACTCTAATTATACCAATACTCCCAATCTCCTCTGTAAATATTGCCCGCACATAATGGCTTCAAAATCAAAAGCAGGCCTTGAAGCTAATGCTCCCCATGTATGATTGACCGCAGAAATATTTCGTGTGTGTCTCGTATGAGAACTGCAGCGAGGAGACAAAGGCAGCAGTCACTAATTGGTTGGCGGCAGGCTACTTACTGGAGGAGAAGCTGACAGTGATGTCGAACGAGCTGATGTGTGAGTGACTAGAAAGTGACTGGAAGAGAAGGCAAAGACAACAGAAGAAGTGGCTGCAGCAGCAGAGACTGGGGGCTCACTCACCATCTCTCCACTAGATTTAGCTTTTTAGTCTTGAGTTGAGAGGGTGGGGGGGAAACAGGTGAGAGGAGAAAATAGAAAAGAAAAGGAAATCAAAGACAGGGAGACAAATGGCGAATCTACCTCACTCATCTTCTGTCTCTCTCTCTCCTGCCACTTCCTCCACGAATCAAAGCATGAGGCCAAACACACCCGCGCGTTCTCGTGTTTTGTCAATGACTTTTTAATTCAGTCAGCGGATTTAAACCATGAAAGGTAAACACGCACACGCACACGCACGCACACACGCGCGCGCACTGGGCAGCTGGAAGGAAACCCAAGCGGACTTCGGGCTCTACCTTGTGTGTGTGAGTACTCCAGCTTCGCCTGAATGGAAGAGTTAATGTTCCCAGAAGGCACGCAGGCTCCCTCCAGGCAGCATGGACACCGACTCTCCCCGCTGCCGAGGGGAAAATAACATCACACCTCCTCTCTGCCTCCCCTCGCTCCCCTCTTCTCTGGAGGAGCTTCACAAAGCGCACGCCGCGTGTCCTGACGTCTCTCTCGCTGCCTCGCTCCTGCCTCTCACTTCTCCTCCTGCAGCCGCGGAGCCTCCAGGTGACGGCAGGAGACGCAAAATGGAAATGTCGTCGCTCCTTTCTTTTCCTCCTCTGAGTCAGTTTGGGAAAGTGCACCAGTCTCTCCCTCGCTCTGAGCCCCTCTGCCTCCCTCTGACTGACTCCCACCGCCGCCCCGCTTCCCCCCCCCCTCTCTCTCTCTCTCCTGCGCCCCTGTCACTTTCAAGCTCTCTCGCTGCTAGAGCGAGAGAGGGGGCGGAGTCATGAGGGAGGGGGGAGGGGGGGTCGCAGAGGGAAGAATGTGATTGGCTGACACCGACGGGGGGGTTAGGGAGAGAGAGATGGTGAGAATCGTGAGAGGAGGAAATACTTGGAAGGAGGGACTCTGAGGGGGGGCGGGATGAGAGGAGGACCGGGGTGCAGGGCACTCCCTCTCTCAATCTCTCCCTCTCTCCCTCACTTCTCTCTCAACCTCTCTTCTTTCTCTCCCTCTACCTCACTTCTCTCTCAACCTCTCTTCTCTCTCTCCCTCTACCTCACTTCTCTCTCAACCTCTCTTCTCTCTCAACCTCTCTTCTCTCTCTCCCTCTACCTCACTTCTCTCTCAACCTCTCTTCTCTCTCAACCTCTCTTCTCTCTCTCCCTCTCTCTC